ATCGCGAAAATAAACTTAGGTATAAAAAAAAAAGACTAAATTGGCTGCTCAGACTCTTTTGGGAGAGTGATTAGTTGCTCTGACGATCTTTCCAGGTAAATCTGACACCAACCTTGGAGAAGAGGGATAAACAACTTTCTTGGTGATTTCTATACACTTGACAGATTCTTCAAATCGTACCTATTATTAATTATACTTTAAATTTATCATAAAAATGGAACGTGTTCATACTTTACTTATGAGCACTTTTTGGATCCCGTCTATTAACTTATCGATGTCCTGCAAAATTGTCGGTATCTCAAAGTTATCAACCTCAGAACCAAGATAAACACCATTTCCTAAAACACGCATTACATAAATTCCAACACGATTTTCTAGACGAAACAAAGGGATGAGGAATACGATTTACATAGTTATATAATACAAGCATTACAAGTTTACTTACTTTGAATTTTTTATCCTGTCGCTTCAATCTCCGTGATAACTTGTTGATCTTTTGATAGGATACTAAAAACATATTCCAATTCATCCGAAAGTTCTTGTAATAATTTTCCGGTATTTAGCTGATCTGTTTTGAGGTCGTCTCCTCTCTTGATCTCTCCACACATTAGCTGTGGTGATTCCATTAAATGAAAACCGGGTTTGTTCCCTGATTGAACTCTTACTTCCATCGAATTTCCTCTATTACGACGATCACGCGATGGAATGGATGGAACAACATTTCTACAGACAGGATAAGTAGATTAGAAATCAAATGACAAAATGACAAAAAAAAAAAAAAGACGGTGCAAAGTACCTCTCTACTAACCCTTAATCAAAAAAACAGAATTCAATCAAGGGATTGATAATATTCGCCGACCACCAATCTTCACTTGCATTTAACGATACATGGTTTCGACTATAAACATCTATCCGCCTTACACTACAGAGAATATGGTGAATATTAATTAATCCCTATCTAAAAAGTCAAAAATTCATTAAAACTACTTACAATGCTTGGATGACATTTATAACGTAAATTTTGTGATAATACTGTTCATCAATGTCAGGATCAAGGATGATTTCATTTGATGCGCAATAATTCTTGTATTCTTTTATGGTCGGGTGACGCATACATTATGCTGAATTACTTTTTGTTAGTAATGGAGCATTATAACGTGATTTTTTGCCAATAAACATACAATACGAAATGACTCAACAAAATCCCACAGGTCTTTATTGATTGTTGAGTTAATGTGGTAATTTACCATATTCCTAAGTTCTTCCAATCCTGAGGGGGTAAAAATTCTCGCCATTCGTCGATCATTTGGGTCAAGAATAAATTCCATGTTGCTGTTAAATTATAATCAGCAAAGATTGAAAATTCAAGGAAAAACTCCTATAATATATTGCACAAAAAAAAGAAGCATACTTAGGTACAGTCCACATTCGAAAAGTTTTAATAATATCCCTACAAGTTGATAATAAGATAGTTCTGTCCACCTTGCCCATTGCTATCGACATGATTGACAACGCTTCGTAATAAAAAGAAATATCGAATTAATCCAGAATGAAAAAAAAATAGATAATTAAAGTAATATATACATGCTTGATTCGCTGATACATCTGTGCTTTCATTATTATTGGTGCCATCGATAATGTCGTCAACCTCATGATCAACTTTTCTATTTTTCCCTCGGATAATCAATTCACCTTCATCTGCTCGACCTTGATATGCGAGCACTTGGTCATTTGCCTATAAAATATATTGCTTTAAAGGGAAAAAACGTAAAATGTAATAATGACAAGTGGTCACTTACTTTAAGTAAATTTAATTTCAACTGCTGGTTACGTATTCTATATTTTCTTTTACATCTCCCCAAGCTTTCGTCCTTTCTCTCGATTTCTTCTGATGAAGAGATCACAATGTTAGTTAAATGTTCTATTCAAGAAAGAAGAAACAAAAACATGTTACCTTCCAATCATTTAACCTCCTTTGGACGAGATCATACTCGGGACAAGGAAAGCCGCTAAAAACTTTCTTTATTAAAGTGTACTGGC